CAACTATGGCTAAATTCAGGGAATAAGGGTAAAAGTATTCATCATATTGAAATGGCTAAATACATATTTTGTTTATTAATCTGGAAATTCACACTTGCAATGGGAAGCAAGAAGGTTAAGTCTTTTAGTGGGTTCTTTAATCAAATGATTTGTATATATGAAAAGATATATGAGTATGGAAAAATTATCCTTATGTTCGAAAAGGTAAGATATACTAGAGAATGTAAGGAACTCTTCAGAAATGTCAACAAAACACACACATAAAGATCACCCACTATAATTAGAGACTAATTTTGGGTGTTATAATTAATTTGAAATTAATTTTGGGAGATATACCAGATAGTTTCTTAAGATTCTTCCTCATCCTAAAAGTATTAACTGACACTCACGAAGGCAGAGATTATCCTTTTTAAAACTGCCTACTTCTCAAAGATCAGATCATCCTTCTTCTGCCTGGTTACTTTGCACACATAAGGTTTGGACACTGGAAGATAGAAATGGGGCTGGCCTTCTTTGGTAGATTATAAAGAGAGGAAGAAAAGACAAAAGGATATGCCACACATTTACCATTTTACAGTATGACTTTTGATAGTCTTTCATGCAAAATAATATCCGTGTGAAGCTACAACAAACACTGTCAAAAAGCACTTAACACAATTCCTGAGACAATCCATATCAGAACCATACCTTTTTTGTTTACCTACCAAGATAATATCGCACAAAGTTTTCCATATCCCTGAAATTACCACTGACTCATTCAAACTGGAAAACTTCTCCTTTTTTCTTTACAAAACAAGATAGAAGAAAAGGCCAAGTATGATAGTTCATATTTCTATCTGCAACCATCTAATACAGTAGCTCTTAACTAGGAGCCAATACATCAATAAGGACTATTGATCGATGATGTCTAGCACCACCCCCATCCCCAACTCTGATGGCAGCTTTGAACATATCTCTCTCCTGCCATGCAGTGTCCATTGTTACACATAACAAGGAAGTATCCACAGTGGGAATCACAGACTCTTAAGGTCAGGTTGTGAGGGAACTAGGCCTTGGTATTCTCTTTCTTCACCTAGAACTTCTTCCTGCTCCCTTCTCACTCGTGCTTCTTCACTTGGCCAATAGAAGCCAAATCAGCAACCTTTCACAAGATATGGTGGAGGCTAAATGGCAGATAATTTTATTAAATATCTTGCCTGTTTGTTCTTAAAAGGCAGGGGTTAGCAAACTTCTTCTGTAAAGAGCCAGATGGTAAATACTTTAGGCTTTTTGAGCCAAATGGTCTTGGTCATAACTATGAAGTCTGCCATTGTAGCATTAAAACACCCATAGAAAATTCACAGACAAATGGGTGGGAATGGGTTCCAATAAAACTTTATTTACAAAACAAGCAATGGGCCAGATTTGGCCTGTGGGCCTTAGTTTGACAACTTCAGTTTTAAGGGAATAGCTCAAGTTTTGTGTTTTTCTTCTCCTATACTGGTGGAATTTTGGCACGTAGTGCAAGTATGTTCATCATAACTAGATTTTTAAGGGGGGAAAAATAACATAGAGTCCCATCTATAGTGACTTATTTTCTATTCCCAAAATCCAGCTACCACAGGCACTCTCTGACCCACTAAAGGTGTGGGGGGTTATTGCAGGCCATGGTCAGGAGTGTTTTTGGTTTCTTCTTTGAACACCTAGCATTTGCTTTTGTCAGCAGTGGATAGAAATATCTCCATTTTCTTCATAGAGGACATCCAACATGCCAGAAGGATTTCAGGCCCAATACACTTGAGAAAAGTTCTTCTAACTTGCACACTCCTTTTCTACTTAGCTTAATGCCTCACCTTCCTGTTCCTGAACACCTGAGAAGCAAGTAGAGTCATGGCCCGGCATAGCACATTTTCCTCAGGGAACCCGCCCCCCTTCTTACAGAGCAAGAAAACTCTTGAAAATAATTTGTCTCCCTGTGACTAGACAAAAATTTAGAACTAATGCAAACCCCTCTTTTTGAAAATTCAGGTCTATTTCTGCCTTCACAGAAAAAGGGAAGGTAGGAGTGAGAGGGTGGCTGGAAATTGACCTCTTGAACATGGCAGATGAGCTGTCTTTTTAATTTGGCCTTAGCCGAAACAGCAACCTATGTGTTCCATCTCCTTGCTTGTTAAAGTTTTTTCTTTATGGGGGAGAACAAGCCCCCTTGGAAATGGGTTCACTTTATTAATAGAAAAAAATCAAGTTGTAATGGAACCTCTGAAACAATGTTACCAGGAGTTCATGTAGACCTTTCAGAATAAGCACCTATGTTGTGTGGACTTTTTTATTATTATTACTTGTTAACAGCTTTACTCTTGTCCGTGTGCTCAGAGACCTTGGCAAGATGAGCATTTTATAAATCTGATAAATAAATCATTGAAGCCTCCCAATCAATATCACCTAAGGGATAATGAACAAAATAAACTAACAAACAAAATAGAAAAAAATACGTATCACCCAAGGGAGAAGGAAGGAGGCACTCAAATCTGCATTAAAGTCAAGGTTCCCCATCCCCCCCTCCTCTGGTAAATGCTAGGGAAGAAGAGGCAGAGGCCAGGAAAGGCTCCTCTCACCGCCATGGGCTGAGAGCAGCAAGCTGATCCTTCCACTTAGCCCTCTACAAAGAGTAAGTCAGTTCACTATGTCAGGTTTCACATGATGGGCACAGATAAGCCAGAGGATGGAAACAGCGTGCTTGCCCCCTTGAAGCAAAGTCCACCAGCATGAGCTGGGCAGTCCATGCGGGAGGGTGACTTGCTCACCAGGAGCGTCATTGGAACTGCAGTGTATGGGCTTACACTGAACTGTTCTGGAAAAATGTTTCTGTCAGCACAGCGGTAAAGCACTCCAGAGAGGGTCTTTACAGAACTCTGCAGCCAAACTGAGCCCAAGGGGAATTCCACGGTAAGTCTCATGAAGAGGTATAAAGCCTCATTAGTGCAAAGAGGATTTACTATGCTCCAGATCCAACCAAGAATGCAGGTGCCTTGTTCCCAAATTTGTGATTCATTATGGTTCTACAGATCACCCAATTATAAGGAATCATCACCGGTTGACGCCTGAGTAGCCTCCCGCTCTTCTAAAAATATCACTGACAATCAGACTGCACCTACAGGCCTTTGCACAGGGGAGAAACGTGCTGAGCTGGCAGGTGGTTTATTTAAAGAAAGCAAACAGCCAGGCTGGTATGTAAAGGAAGACTTTTAAAAAAATGAAATCATACCATTCAAACGAAGTTCAAAAATCGTTTAGGTTCTCATTCTGCCTTACGGTAAGTCTATCTACAAATCTCCAGGGACAAACATACTAGCAAGGGAGTTATTGTAAAAGACTTTGAAAAATAAACTTCTACAAGCAAACCTTTTGCGTGATCAAACTACCCTCACTGTCAAAAATTTGCTAATTAGGACAGTTTTGCAATGGGTTGCTGGAGCCGGCTGAAACTGGTTTGTTAGATTTTCAGGAATTTTGCAAGCAAGGTGATTTCGCATTGGTAGTTTGAAATCAACCATAGTAGGAATATTTACACCGTGGAAATCAGCAAAGAGTACAATTCAGAGCCCCAACTCTGCTCCACCCCTGCAATCGGACTGTTAAATATTTACTAATGTACCATGCTCACAGGCTTTGTAAAACTTCTCCAGCTTTCTCTTCTCCAAAGGCTTACAGTCTTTGAGAGTGGCGAAAAAGTAGAACTCACATGAGAAATCTCCTTTACAATTTTCTGGAAGAGTTAGCCTCTACTGAGAGCAAAAGGAAATCAACTGCTTTGCAAGACAATCCCCTTACAACAAAACTGCTGTATTAGAAAGACACCATTAGCCCCAATTTACCTGTGCTATTCTTCCTATTATTTGCCAATCTTTGGAACATCCTTTAGTCCCTTCAGAGCTCTGGGAATTATCTCATCTCTCAAACTTCAGGATAAGAATGGGTTCAGTATTTGAATGGGACAACTGACACCAGAAGTCACCACAGGTGACCTCAGTATTTATGAAGCACAACCCTACTTGCCTTCTGAATATAACTTCTCCCATCCAGTAAAGAGCTAAGCTGAGTGCCCAGACCAGAAGTTCTTTACCTCCTGGAGTCTTTCAGACAGAAATAACTTGTAGTACAACTTAGGGATTGGGAAATGCATCCTCCATGACTTCTAAAAAAAGTTATTGGCTCTAAAACCTAATAATAAAGATGTCCCGATACCAAGATGATTCTTCTTGGGCCCCTTGCATTTCCATCTATCTTATAAGGAGAGATATTACTGCCTTTCGTTCTGGATTATTATTTTGAGGAAGTTTGTATAGCAAACAGCCTTAGGAGCTACAGATAATATGTCCAAAGCATGTTTACTGCCCATTAAAGGAGTTAGGGGTCCTTTTCTATAACACAGAGTATTTGCAGGAATCCTTCTGGGCCCATCTGCATCACCCCCATGAAACGTTGCGCAGAGAACTAACTCGTGTATGCTGCTCCTGCTGCTTCCCATGGGATGAGTAATGAAGCCCTTTGTCTCTGACCCAGAGGTCTCATGTCCTCTCATGTCTCATACCACCATCTATGAAACTGTGCCAGGCTAACTTATTAGCCTGCAAGTAGAGAAAATCTCAGACCCTTCGCAGTTCTTGACACCTGTTACCTATAAAGCTTTTAAAAAGTAATCTATATCTGTAGTTATATTTCTATTTCTACCTGTATTTATCCACCTACCTATCTATTGAATGAGAACTAATTGTGTCTCTCGGGGATTCTTTATAGCTCTCTTGGGCAATAATGTATAAGGCAGCACACAATGACATTACTAGACTGAAAACTGCAGAGCTGCTCACTCTGTTGAAGATATACATATGAAACTAGTCAAAATGAGCACGAACAAAACAGTCTTCTGTGTCCTCTAGTACAGGGCTTCTCAAGCTTTAAGGAACATATAAATCACCTGGGAATCTCATTAAAATGCAGATTTGGATTCAGTAGATCTGGGATGAGGCCCAAGATACTGCATTTTTAACAAGTTTCCAAGCAATCCTGATGATGCTGGTCTTGATAGCAAGGCTCTAACAGCAACTAAATATGCATTTTATGCCTGTTAACACTCTAATATTTGCAAAAACTCAAACATTTTTTAAACTGATAAGAACAGACACTACACTGATCTTAGTCAAAAGGCCGAGAAGCGATAAACTCTAACATTTTTAATAAAATTATCTACAACAACCCAAGAAGTCCACATAAATCCGAGAACGCCTATATTGGTTTAGTAAAGGATACTAAAACAATTTCTGAGAACATGATCATGAGTGCTTATATACTTATATGAGGAAAACATCAAGATTCGTTATGACTTATCCTTTAGTCTGCATTATAAATACATTCTATTCAAAGAAATAGGAGCAAAGGAAACATGTAAGAGAAGACTTTTCTGGGTTATGTAAAGAGTTTGCAGACGGTAGTAAGCATTTAAGTAAACAGAGCAAATAGCCTCATGGTTAACGTTGCTGACAATTATATCTCTGTCCAGGCTAATGCTGATGGGCTAAGCATACAGGGAAAGAGGAAATAATATATGGACATAAAGACTGACTCTGAAAAATTAAATGTGCTGCCAGGGAAAACACAATGGGCAGGAGGAGGGCCTGCCTTGTGGTCCCCACGCTGTCACTCCCTTGCTACAGAAGCTGAGGGAAACTGAGGCACTCCCTGCTGAAAGGTGATAGGATACTCCAAGAGCCAGACCCCTGGCCACTTTTAGTCTAGGTCTCAGTCACCTCTACAGGCAGACACTCAGCCTCATAGGCCCGTTTTTTAAGACTATCGTCCTCCCAAAGAATTTAATCTTTCCGTCTCATCTTATTCACTTGGGAATAAGTTACGTGCCCATTTGAAAAGCACAAGAGAGAGAGGGTTCAAAAATTTTTTTGAAAGGCAGGAAATACATTTGGTGATTTTATTAAGAAATATTGAGTAGTACTTTTTCTTTCTTTTCTTTCTTTCTTTGTCTCCTTCTTTCCTTTCTTTTGACTTTTTTCCTCCTTACTATCCTCTCCCTCTTCTTTCTCTCTCTACAATAAAGACTACCAGGGAGGCAGTAGGCATGTATTTCAGAATTCCACACACCAGTTTCTCATGAGGTTAGTGACTAACACTTTTGTAAAGATTTCTATGGTCAAATAGAAGGTCCTGGGTTAGGAAATCCTGGGTTAAACAGAGTTCAAAGGTTTCTTTACTACCTCAAGCCTTTAACAGGCTGATGTCCACCGTGCTCTCTGAGATGGGGCTGTGGGTGCTGCATTTTCTATATTCGGCCACATAAACACCCCTCTCCCATCCACTTCCCACTAGTGTTCTGAGGAATTCACTCTGAGAAAGAGAGCTCTGACACAAAGATTTTGAATGCTGGAGCCCAAGCTGTTGTGTTTAAATTAGACCCCCCGGAAACAAGCATTGTGGCCTTGGATAAGTCACACAACTTCTCTGAGCTTCCAGTTTCTTCAGGTGTAGAAGGAGTCAATGGCATCTACCAGATGGTGCTATTGATAGGACAGAGTGAGACAAATTATACAAAGCACCAGGCACAGAGCTGCTAGCCCACCTTGGCCTTTCAGATTCAGAGGAGTGGTTAATCCACATCCCTCGAGGGCTGGATAAGAAAGCATTCATCTTACCAAAAACTACGATGGAGAGGAGGCCACCAGCCTCTTTTCTAACTTCACAAGTTGCAAAACTGGACCTGTGTCTTGTCCCATCCACTCACATCTGAATATTCTCTTCCAAGGGCTGGCCCCCAGGCTGTGTTTGTCTGTGGTCAGTCCTAACAGATGACATTTGCCAAATGAATGAAGGAGAGAAGGGAAATATTGATATGGAAAAGGTCACAGAGAATAAACAATGGCAGGAATGAGGCCAGGCCAGAGAGAGGGGGCATGACCGTCCTGAGTCAAATCTGACTTTACCTGTTAGAGAAACAGGGACTCAGGCAAGAGAATTCTCTCCCTGGGTCTCATTCATGGTCCCCGTTTCAAATATAAAGATAAAGATACAAATATCACAGAGCTGTGTTAAGGAACCAGGGGAGATCACATATGCAAAGTACTTAGCACAGCACCTGGCACAGAGTAGGAACTACATCACAGAGAAATAATCACAGTAGAAAATAATCACAGAGCTAAGTGTTCTTTTTTGGAATGAAGGGGGGAAAAGTAGATGCTATTATTCTCAAATCAAATTCTCTGGTTTCCAGATTGGAAAATAGATATCGTAATCCTTCTGGGGAAACCCCAGGAAAAGGACTAGACACAGGGCAGAATATTTCATTCCCCACGACTGACTGCAGATGTGCCCAATGACTGATGGCAGATGCAGTTTCCATGCTGTCATTCTGAGAGAGAGAAAACAGACACTACTACCTATTGGATTCCAAGAAGATTACAGACAACAATGAAAGAACAACATTTCAAGTTTGCTGAATAAGGACTTCTACCCGTCCTCCTCACAGAAGTCAGGTAGGGGGACCACTTCCCTAAGTTAGGACTCCCCTCACCTCCTCCACCCAGGACTATATTCTCCCCCACCTTATACATTTATCAATCTATTGTCTGTCTCCCCCATTGCAATGGAAGCTCCACAAAGTAAGGACTCGCTCTGCCCTCAGGGTCTATTACAGGCTGGCCCAGAGCAGTTTCTCAGTAAATATTTGTTGAAAGAATGAATGAATCCCACATTAGTTATTTAATAAGCATGAACACTCAAGGATTTATAGTCCATTAAAACAAAATGAAGACCATGAGACCAGAATTTTTAAAAAATTAGTAATGTTATTATAAATCAAATGAACAGCTTTATTAATCACTTCCAACATAAATAGAAAAATCAAGAAAGTGAAAAAGGCTTGGCAGGAGCCAAGAAATCACCATAAACATAATCACACTTCACATTTAGATGTCCTAACCCTGCCTCTCACTGACTTCCTTATCAATTTCCAAATGCAGTGGCTCTGCTGTGTCCTCAGGACCAATTCCAAACTCCACAGCATGGCAGGAAGGCCCTTTGCATCCTGGCCCTTGTCCATCTCACCATCATCATCTCCCACCACTGTCCTCTTACATCTCCACCCCAGCAATATCCAAACAAGCCCAACATGAACCTCTCTGCCTTGATAGGTGCCTCCTTCTTCATCTCATCTATGTGGTGAATTTCTCCTCATCCTCCCAAGCCTCTTTTGAAGGTTGACTCCTCTGTGAAGTACTCCCTGATTTTTTTAGACAGAATGAATCAGTCCCCTCTTGTGCGCGGCTATTTAGATTATTTACTGCCTTACCATCCACTTAGATGTCATTTATTAATGTATTATCTGTGTAAGTGATGTACACATACTTATTTTATGTGTCTGGCACATTGTATATGCTCAGTAATATGTTTATCAGAAGAACAAAGAATTGGATGCATGACCACTGTTACACTTTCTCTTCCCACATTGCTATCCTTCCCAGCTAATTAATGACCTTACAACCAAAGACAAAAGATCACTGAGAAGGTATGGAGGTAAACTTTATGAAGCACAATATCTGCTGGGCACTATCTTATTAACCTTTTGGTTATCCCCAGAAGTCCTCTCTGAAATTGGTGCGGTTATGCCCATTTTATGGATAATGAAACTCACAGAAAAAGAACCTTTCAGAATGTAGAGTCCAACCTGAGTCTACACTCCTCCGACTTCCTTGTTTTGGCTCAAATGCAAGCTCCATTTTATCCTTTATCAATTCAGAGGGTGTTCTCTTCCCATATTCTCACCTCTTAAACTACATTTCCAAGTGGCCCTCAAATGGCATCTGTCTACCAAACTTCTCTAAGCCTCCTGGACGTTCCCCTCTCTTCAAGATCCTCTTGCTCCAAAAGCCCGACTAAATATTCCCAGTGCCTTCTAATTCTTCAGTAATTCTTCTACCCAAGCCTCCTGAATGGCTTTGAAACAATGTATAAGAATAAACCATGAATACCAAAAAGACATGGTGCCTTCTTCTGTCCTTGTACTTCAGTTCAGTTAAAAAAAAAAAAAGACATTTACTGAGAGTTAACTCTGCCTTGCACATTACCAAGTACTGGAGACATAGAGAGAACAGAACAGAACTGTTGACTTCGAGGAGCTTTCAGATTAATGGGAAGATTAACAGGTAAAGCATATTCTTTCAATATGATAAGCTAAGCATTTTTTCTGGATGATTACTCATGGTATTAAAAGTCTACAAAAAAGGGACTTTGTCCAACCCGAGGCTATCAGAGGAGGCTTTCTGGAAGAGGTGATGCCTGAGGTTTATCTTTAAAAGATAGGCAAGAAACAACCAGGCAAAGGGATGGGTGAACAACACTCCAGAAAGAAAAAACAGTATTGTCTGCAGTACTAGGAAGTGGTGACATCACCTTACAGGAACTTGAATGGTCACTGGTGTGGTTTTCATGTATTCTTGCTGAAATTTTCACATGTGGAGGGCTTGTTTTGCAATCAATAATTCAAACAGAACCCAACCCATTACCCCTCCTCTTTTCTTTAAGGGTACTCCATGTAAGACGCTGATGACTCCTGTGAGATGAGTTCAGGTTTTCAGGATGCTGTGGTCCATTTAGAGGCAGGAGAAAGTCATTTTCTACACAGCATCCCAGTACAATACAGTCATGGGACTGAGCATGACCACCCCAGAGGGAGAAATCCCCACCCTCCCAATGCACATTCCCTACTCCCTTCCTTGTTTGCACCTTCTCCACGATTTTGTTTTCCTATGAACTATCCAGATTCTCTCACAAACTGGACAAAGATCTCTCTCTACACAACAAAGTGATATGACTTAACTCAAATGTTTTTAGAAATTATTTCAATCACTCCCATTCTGGTGAGTTAAGTTTGATGTCTAGTGATGTATTTTGTTATTTCTTAATAAAGAGACAGTCTCTTCCAATGTTAGTAGGTTATGAACTTTGATGTTGGGATGCACCTTTGATAGCATCTAGAAATATATATTTTAATACACCAAGAAGGAAAGAGAGTCAGCAGGGCAGCAGTTGGTAAAGCTAAAGCATTAAAACCAGAACTATCTGGATATAAATTGTGGTTCTGCCAATTACTAGCTCTGTGATTTGGACACAATAGTAAATGTCTCTGGACGTCAATGAGCTCAGTGTTACAATGC